GCTGGCTGCTGCTGCTTTTGAGGATGAAGAAAAGCAAATGGGGGTGGGGAAAGCAAGCGGTCAGGCTGAGGAGGACTTTTCAGCAGAGGAGAGAGAGGGGGGATGGAGGAGCTCTCTTGCACGCATGCACCCTCCCACTCCTGCGCGCTTGCTCTGTTTTGTCCTCTCCTTTTTTAGAACTTGTGAGTTCTTTTTGGTGGTTTCTTTTAAATTTTATGATTGTTGGTCATACCTTGGGGTATGAGGCATTTCGAGGCCAAATTTGGTGATATTTGGCCCTGTACTTTTTTGTTTTTAACACACTCATGATGCACAGAAGGTTTTTATATATTAAGATTTTCATGCTCAGAACTTTAAGTTTTTTAGAAGTAAATATGCATCCATGCAAGAATATTTACAACCATTCATTTGAAGTATACAATTTTGGCATGCAAAAGGAGTTTTTTTTTATTAAAAAAAATCATCACCATGATCATTTATTTATTTATTTATTTATTTACAGTTCTTATATTCCGCCCTTCTCACCCCGCAGGGGACTCAGGGCGGATTACAGTAAACACATATATGGCAAACATTCAATGCCAGTTTGACAAACAACATTTAACAGACAAAGGCTATTTAACTTTTTTTTCTGGCCGCCAGGGGAGCTGCTGCTTTTCATCGTCCATCAACGACACCGATGAAGTTCTTCCGCATTCCACATTCCCCGGAGTCTTCTTTCTTTATGGCCTCATAAATTAGTTAAATTTAGCCTCCCACACAAGGTGGTACCTTATTTTCCTACTTGACAGATGCAACTGTCTTTCGGGTTGCAAAGGTCGACAACAGGCTACACAATGGTTGGAAACCCACTCCAACCCGGGCTGGCTTCGAACTCATGACCTTTTGGTCAGAGTGATCTTAATGCAGCTGACACTCAGCCAGCTGCGCCACAATCCCGGTGCAAATCATTGCCATGATTTGTTGTCATGTGACGTGCCATCAATGACTTCTGAGTGACAAAGTGTTAGATCTGGCAACATTAGGTGCTTCCTTGGGGCTTTTCAGTCCCTGAAGATTTCATGTCAACTGAAATCCAGAGGTCAGATAGAAAGTGCTTCCCTTCAACTTTGCTCAGTGATAATGTGGCTTTTCAGAAGTCATTCATACAGAAGGATTGGAACACACAAGACACGTTGTTGCTAAGTAACAATGAACTGATTATACACCTTTGAACATTTTTGCAAAGTCTTCTTCTGCTTCATAATTGAGTTGTTGTTACCTTTCTGAACATTTCATTTGCAATTTTCTCACTACCTTGAATTTGCCACCCAGTGTGTCAAACTGTTAGCATGTATTCTTATTACAATCCTGTCTCAGCTTTAAACAAGATACCTAAATAGAAGTGACATTGCCCATTGGTAACTGTATATGAGGCTAAGCATGTTTAGCCTGAAGAAGAGAAGGCTGAGAGGAGATATGATAGCCATGTATAAATATGTGAGAGGAAGCCACAGGGAGGAGGGAGCAAGCTTGTTTTCTGCTTCCTTGGAGACTAGGACGCGGAACAATGGCTTCAAACTAGAAGAGAGGAGATTCCATCTGAACATGAAGAAGAACTTCCTGACTGTGAGAGCCGTTCAGCAGTGGAACTCTCTGCCCCGGAGTGTGGTGGAGGCTCCTTCTTTGGAAGCTTTTAAGCAAAGGCCGGATGGCCATTTGTCAGGGGTGATTTGAATGCAATATTCCTGCTTCTTGGCAGGGGGTTGGACTGGATGGCCCATGAGGTCTCTTCCAACTCTTTGATTCTATGATTCTATGATTCTAAGTGAAAACAAAAAGAAAAAAACCCCATACAACTGATATCATAGCAGTTTGAGAGAATTAACGTCCACCTTGGCTTAGACAGTTTACTTGGCAGAAACCATCCAACCATTAATCGTATTTCTTATACTGGTTTGGGGGATGGGTGGTTATGGTGAAAAGAGAAAACCAACCGGAAATATACAGCAGAAGATGTAGTACATGCAGTGAACACAAATTTAGCAAAAACTATTATAGCTGCATATTTAAAAGATCAAAAAGACCCCTTCTCCAAAGAGAGAGTTGTTTTAAATAGAATGCTCGACTAGATATCTACATATCATGGAGGCAGTAGAACCTTTGTGATCTTGAAAACTGAACAGTGTAAAGCCTGGTACAATTTTGAAAGAGGGGTCTGTAGGCTGTTGTAGGCTATATTTCAGTAGAAGGCAAAGTATACCACTTCTGATTGTCCCATGTCTGAGAAAACTCTGTGAAATTCATTGAATATCCAAAAGAGGACAACTATTAAAGGCATATGCTTTATGAACAGACTGTCATTTCAAAATGGTGAGAGTCAATACTGACATACAGGTTTATGGAAGCTGCTTAAGGCAGCATCTTGAAGGGGAGACAAAGGAAGGTATGAATTGCTCTAAATGTATATGGTGTTTCAAAATGAAGGACCCAATATCAAAGCAGTATATTTCATGATGGCAACGTGTTACAATTACACAAAAAGGTACAGATTGTTTAATGAGTTATCAAGTTTTACTAACAATTTTATGTATGGCCTTTGCCTACCATTAAGAAAAAGTTGGCCTAATTATGAATGGCAGAATATTAAATTTCTTCTGTTTTGAGGTTGGCATCTTGAGAATGACTGAGGCTAGGGGTTGTTTGTGTGCTGGGAAAGATATCTATGTTCCACCCTTTCAAGTTGTAAGAGTTGCATTCATGGTGGTTCATGGTTGCAGGAGGTATAGCAATTTCAAATCAGGTCCATCTTTTTTCAACAACTTGTATATTATAGGGCAGCACTACTCAAACCTGACTTGTGGGCAGCATCGGACAACAGTGAATCTTCAGCTACACACACATTTGTAAAAAGTAGTAAATCTAGAAAGTTTGGTCCTGAGGTCCTGTAATACAACAAAAATTCTGGATTATTTTGATTGCAATTTTGACTCAGATTTCCAATAGTATTAAGGCTTTATATCCTGTTTAGAACCTATAGATGTTAACTGCCTATCACAGAATGGTCTTTTAAATGTGTTTGTATATTATACTAATAATTCATCTTGTTGTTGCTTTAATTGCCTTAAAGTCAATTCCATTTTATGGAGATTCCATCACAGCAACATATTTCACCATGTAATAATTGCACTTTTTAATTTCTTTTTTTGGGGCACAACTCTTACGTGGTGAAAAAAATCATGCGTCCTTTCAGCTAAGATGTTTCACTTGTCTTAGTCCAAAAGCACTGGGATGAAGAGAGCAGGTATTGTCACTCTCTTCAACCCAGTGCTTTTGGGCTCAGCTGAGTGAGCCACAATAGCTCAAAGGAGTCAAGTGGGAGGGGCAAAACAGTTGTTTGTATAGTGCAGCAAGACACATGAAAAAGGAAGCCTAACTATACTCTTCACAGCAGAGAGGCTATCTTCATCTGCTGGCAACACTGTATGCAGGTTGTCTGCCACAAATATGTGGGGATAATGAATCAAAGCTGTGAATATTACGTGGTGAAAGCAAAGAAACTGATTTGGGGGGCCAAAAAAGGGCATGTGACTACTACACAGTGAAATACAGTATTTTTGACAAGATTTATCCAGTGGAGGTATGCCATTGTCTTTATTTGAGGTTGAGAGAATGTGATTTGCCCATGGACACTTAGGGAGTCTCTGGCTAAGCAGGAATTTGAATCTCAGTGTCCTAAAACATAGTACAGCATTCAAACCACTCCACGACACTAACAAAGTTTACCTTCATGACAATATTTTAAATCTTTGTACAATAAACTCTTTTAGTTATATGTTGTTACAACAATTGTCCTGTGTCCCATATTGGAAGAAAAGTAGGATATAAATCAAACAAATAAATCAATTGAGAAAAGTTGTGCTCTACATTATGGAAAGGTTGAAAAATTACATTATTCTGTGGACATGCCTTCCAACATTCAACAGATGAAAAATGAGACATGTGAGATCAAGCTAAATCAGAAATGTAGTTAATGGGAAAATTTGTTAATGAGTGAGTTGTTAATGAGAGAGAATACACAAGCCAGGAGAAATTTCAGCACTTTCCTTTGACCTGAACATACTGTGAAGGTTAAAATTCTGTCACCTCCCCTCACCCTCCCCAATGAGTTCATTGAGGGTAGACTACTTCCGTGCTTTAAAATCAATTTACAACAATTGAAGTAAGCAGAGAATGAAGAGGAAGCACGCTGAAAGAGAGAAACAGAGGCATTTGAAAAGCACCTGAAAAAAGTGACAAGGGATTAATTGGGATTGTCCCTGTCAAATTGGGAAAGTATGTATGTGACACCAAGTACCAGGAAGTTTTGTGTTATAGTGCAAGGATAAAACCTATTTCACAAGTTATTAAAAGTAAATGAAAGAAGGGTTCCATAGATTTCTTTAAGACCTCTATACAGAAATTGCAAGATTCATCCAATATCTGCAGTACTTAATTATGTTGTTATGAACTTCCAAGTTAATTTTGACTTCTGATGACCCTAAGATTAACCTATCATGAGGTTTCCTAGGCAAGACTTATTCAGAGGGGTTTGTCACTGCCTTCCTATGAGGCTGAGAGAATGAAGATCAACAAAGGTCAAGGTCACCTGGTGGGTTTTCACATGTGAGAGCAGTAGGAGCCCCGTACCTTTGGAACTTATTTTCCAGAGGTGCATATGGTCCTAAATCCAAATATCAGTTCCAGTTAGAGTAGACTATAGATTCCTTCAGTCAGTGCCAATCACAATAAAACTATTATATTTAAAAATATTCTTCAAAGCTGGTTTTTAAAATTGTGATTACATTTTTCTTTTTTTAAATCATCAAAGGTTGCTGGGAGGAGAAAAAGATTTTTTTTCAGAAAGGTGTCATATTGTGCATGTGCATTTATGCACGTTTGTGTGTATAAGACTATGAACAAACAAATGTACATCTAAGTTCCTTCTCATTTTCTATATGGTTCTTTCCCCCTCCTTGCAGAATCTGATATTGCTGACTTTGACGGAAGGAGCTCCCTCCTCTACAGGTTCAACCAGAAGCTGATGAGTACTTTCAAAGATGTTGTTTCCCTGAAGTTCAAGAGCATGCAGGGAGATGGGGTCCTGTTTCATGGAGAAGGACAGCGTGGAGATTATATTACCCTGGAGCTGCAAAATGGGAAGCTTTCTTTACACATCAACCTGGGTATGTCCATTCATTTCAACATATCATGAATCATTGTGGAGGTAGGGTGGGAGTGGCTATCCTTTAGTCTAATGTTACCAAATATACAATGTTTTTAAAGACTGAGAAATAAAGCTGAGAAATAAAGCAACAAGGTGCCTATATTTGATTTTCTTCATTTATTTTTATGTTCTAGAGGCTTTTAAATGTGGAAGATATCGATTTCTATTCATACTTGTGTTGAAGAACATGCTAAATGAATTTCACTCCCTAACTCTAATGGCTTTGTACCTCTAGACTGACAAATGCCTGCATGTATTCTATTTATTTTCTTTGGCTATAGCACAATTGTTTTTGTATACATATTATTTTGTATGCTGTATATGGCCAAATGACATCTAGGTCCCCTTCAGATGCATAATGTGCACATTCTTCTTCTTACAGTTGGTGAAAAATATGATTTTCATGGAGTAGTATTCATCCAAGGTTCATTCACATAGTCCAAAGTGTTTCGAGAAATTATTCTGTGCAGGAGTGTTATGTGAAAATACTATTTATTTATTTATTTATTTATTTACCTTACTTATATATCGCTGTTCTCAGCCCGAAGGCGACTCACAGCGGTTCACAGCAATAAGAGACAGCAGAATTCAATGTTACAGTATAAAAACAGTTAACAACTTAACACATTACCCAATTAATAAACAATAAATAATTAACAATTTCTACAATACTTCAGTGTTCTGTGAGAAATTGAGAGCTTTGCTCACCAATTTTGCTCACCAAAACACTCATATTTATACCCAAAATAGTTCATTTGTGTGTCTGGGAACTTTTTCACAGTTGCAGGGAATATCAATTAGTGTTTCAGTACACTGATGATACTGTGTAGTGTTTTTCTGTGACTTATGAGTTAGGTGTGATTGTGCATATTGAGGGCTCAAAAGCATTGTTAGGCTGGATGAGTAGGGCAAGGCTGAAACTGAATCCAACAAGACAGAGGCTCTGTAACTGAATATTTACGAGTCTGAGCATTACTAAAGGTTCTTGTTCAGTGCTTGCATTTGATTTGTACACTTGGGGCCCTTCTTGGGCCATTCATGCCATAGAAGAGCCAAGTAGTTTTGAGTGTCCTTTCACAACATCAGTAAGTACCATTTGGGATAGGCTTAAGGCACACTGATCTTTGGCTTGTCACTTCCTGACTATATTTCTGCAATGAAAATTATGAAATCATATCCCTAATACGTGTAATTAAGATTGCAATCTTACAAGTATTTAATGGCATGCAGGATTGCTCATGTACAGTATAGTCCTGTGTACATAAGTTCAAAAATAAGCCTCATTGATTGTGAAGGGGGTTGTACTTCCAATTTGTTAGATATAGAAAAATTGTAGCTTCAGATATGTTATATTTTTTTCCAGCAAGACTGCCTTAATGGCATTAATTTATAAAGGGATACTGATTACATCGGATTCATTTTGACTGTGTGTTCTCCATAGATAAATAGTTGATTTCTTGCCTGCTCATTGCTTCTGAAAGCAGTGCTTTTTTTCCTTGGATGTAGGTTCATTTTCTTAGAAAGATGTGTAATTTTCCATCTCTTCTATTGCTTTTTATGCATAGTCTGTTTCAGTAGGGGTTGATTACAGTAAGCCAATAAAAATTAGCTTGTTAGCCTGTCAGCTTGTCAAAAAAATAATAATGGTGATTTTATTTAAGCTTTGTTGATTTCAATTCCTTTGGAAATACAATGTAAACACCTTTCATTTTCAAAAGAGCAGCAGCACAGTGTCACTAGTGTTTCATGTAGGTATTGATCCAAGAGACAATGTGTGCTTTGGGAAGGCTGTGCTTTATATTCAATCCAAAAGGGTATTATTTATTGAATTCAGGCCAAGACATGAATCACATATTGAATAAGTTAGTAAATTTTAGGTTTCGTCTCCAAAAAACAACATGGAATGAAATTTCCCTCCTCTGTTTGTACAAGTTGAATTCAATAAACTTAAGTGTTACCTACCACATAGTTACTGCCTAACACATAAATATTAATGAACAAAAGTGGTAGCCCCCAGTTTGGCATTAAATGGGGAAATGCAAAGGAGTCAGATATTTAAAAGGTAACCATTTGAAGTATGATTTACCCTCATTTTGGTTTCTCTCACATTAAAATTCTTGAAACTTTAGGTCTTTTCCATCCCAAGTAGGAAGAAGTTAACAGATGTGGGCAAATTCTTATCTCAAAAACAATTCTCACCCTTTCCAAGTATCAATTCTGGAAATGTGACCCAAGAACATGTATCGTTGAGATGTCACATAAAAGCCCCACTGATGGAACTATGCCACAACTTCTTTTGCTGTAAACTCAGATTTTGAATGCAGCCTATCCTTGATGTTGTGATTAATGGGAGATGTCTAAGAACCTCATCACATTGATTGACTATGATGAGGTCCCCCAGATCGAATCAATAACTCACATGGTAAATTAGCAGGGCAGAGGGGCAATCCCGGTGCCCTGCTTTGCCGGCAGCAATGCATCCCCATTACACATGGGGAAGCATCACTATGTGACTTCCGACTGCTACACTAGCCTCATGATACCTAATGGAACACAGGAGGCCTCCTGTGCTCTGGGCCATGTGTCCTAGGGTGCTGGCACCCCAGTTGAACCACAGAGGCCCACTGAAAATGAGCCTGTAGCATCTGATGGGTGACATGGGGCCCAACTGTAGAGAAAGCATCCTGCAACACTGAAAATTAATAATGTAATGAGGTCACATGAGGCCTTTCACTATGTTCCAACCACTAGATATGTCTTGGTGAAGACATTCTGTGGTATCTTCCAGGGGTTCTTCAGGATCATAATAACAGAGTGTGTGTATCTTTAAGGATATAGTGGCATAGCCAGATGCTTCTCAGATGCCTCCTGCCCTTCACTGGACATGCAGAGGTAGATAGGACACAAAAATGAGTGTATGTGTATGTGTGTGGGGGGGGGCATAATTTAATCAGGAAAACCTTATGCAACCTTGACAGTGTCTAACATACGAGTTATGCAAATTAACTTGTACTTGTGTCTATGAAGCTTATTAACAGGAGACCAGTTGTAATTTTGTGGCATAAAGCATTTCATTTCCTCTGTTAGGACTGCATAGCTCTGATTGTTGGTTCAGTGTCTTTGCTTATTTAGAGATAGTAATTAAATATTCTCAAAAGCAGAGCTAAGGCACTCATAATTATTCTCATGAATTAACCAACAAAGGAATCTGTTAAAACAGATAATCAGCCAGTACCACTAATTGTGAGCTATATATTGCTTTTATTCCTTTACCCCCAAACCATGTTAATGCAGAATAATTCACTTGTTGGCTCTGCCACAAAATTTTTCTCACTCCCCCTCCTTCCAACCCCTTTCTCTCCCTGGTTAGAAAATGATTATTTTCTCTGATGATCATTTTAGAGCGATGGTGTCTCCCAGCCCATCTGTCCACTTCAAGGATTCATTTCACAGCTGTTTCAGCTCTTCTCTGTGCTGGGTCATCTCTGTCCACGCAGAAAACTGGTCTTTGATTCCCTGTAATTGAACCCCCGCCTTGGGTGAGACGTGTAAGTTGAATGTGCTGCATCCAGCTATTGGTACGCAGTGAAGCAAATAAAAAAGAAAGAAAGCCTTGAGTACAGTATATAGAAAGAGAGTTCAAGCGAAGCAAAAAGACAGCATGAGATCCCCAAGGAGAAAAAAGAAGTGGAAAAGAAAAGGCAAGAAGAAAAATCCTTCCTACTTTTCTATTCACTGTCTCTTTGCAGTGTGATCTCTCTGCAACTTTTCATTAGCATCAGATAAGAGGGAGAAGATCTCTCATGACTAAAACATAAAAATGCAACTTTACCCGATGATTCCTGACCTGTGATCTCCTACTTTGAAAATAAATAAAGAATTGTTTTGCCTACTATTATTTCCTGATAATCTATATACAGGATTAGTCAAAATGAATAGGCCAATAAGAAAATTAATTTTAGACGAATGTATGTTTATTGTAACCAAACTACAGCTACGTAGCGACAGATAAACTATCAAAGTTTTGTCTCACCTTCAGAGATGTTCGATATGGGCGCCCCGTGTGACACGGCAGATGTCCAAGCGATAGTCCAGTTCATTCCACATCCGTTGCAGCCCATCCGACGTAATGGCATCGAATGCAGCAACGTCTGGGAAGGTGTTCGTTGAGGTCCTAACCCTAACCCTAACCCTATCCCTAACCCTAACCCTAACTCTATCCCTATCCCTAACCCTAACTCTATCCCTAACCCTAACCCTAACTCTATCCCTAACCCTAACCCTATCCCTAACCCTAACCCTAACCCTATCCCTAACCCTAACCCTAACCCTATCCCTAACCCTAACCCTATCCCTAACCCTAACCCTAACCCTATCCCTAACCCTATCCCTAACCCTATCCCTAACCCTAACCCTAACCCTAACCCTAACCCTAACCCTAACCCTAACCCTACCCTATCCCTAACCCTAACCCTAACCCTAACCCTAACCCTAACCCTAACCCTAACCCTAACCCTAACCCTAACCCTAACCCTATCCCTAACCCTAACCCTAACCCTAACCCTAACCCTATCCCTAACCCTATCCCTAACCCTAACCCTAACCCTAACCCTAACCCTTGAAATTCTCGCTGGACCGTAATTACTGACATTGTTTTAGCAAATGTCATCACACAAAACGCCTTCTCTTTGCTTGATTCCGCCATTTTGAAAACAGCGACCCCTAGCGACGCCTAGCGGCATTAACGTACATGTGTGTTGCTCAAAAAAAACTTTGATAGTTTATCTGTCGCTACGTAGCTGTGGTTTGGTTACAGTAAACATACATTCGTCTAAAATTAATTTTCTTATTGGCCTATTCATTTTGACTAACCCTGTATATAAATTTCCTACTGGCGTCCAACGAGGAAACAAAACTCTAAAACCCCTCCACACAACTCTACCAAAATTGCCATGCCCC